AATAATAGTGGGATGAAACCTATTGGAAAAGGAGGAGAATATTATAAAAATTAAAGGAAAAATAATTTACGGGCGATCTGAGGTCGGGAAGGGGTAGGGGGGAGTTTTAAGGGTAAAAAACGGTTTATCTCGATTTCCGGCAAAACTAAAAGTCCTATCGAAGAAAGTTAAATGGCAAAGTTGTAGGTAATAAAAAGATCTAAAACTTTTGTATTCACACATTTTTCACATAACCTCAAAATTTATTTGAAAAATTAAAAAAAACAAGTTTTTGGTTTTTAATTTTTATCTTTTACAAATTTCTTTTTTTTTAACGAAATTTGGTAAAAACTTACCTTTCTATATACCAAATACGCTGTAATTTATTAGATTAAAAATCTTTATTTTTTTCACCTTATTTTGAATGAATATCGAAAAAACACCCTAATTTTCAATCGAAAATTCACCCGTCAAAATATCAGCTTTTTACAAAAAGTTGGTGTGCGTTCAGTTCGTTGAAATCTCTACTTTCCTATGGTAAAAAAATATATATAGATTACCATATTAAATCTTCTCAGAAAATGCAAAACATCGTATGCAGTAACGCCCAGACCCGGCATACCCTTCCCTACTTCTCTATGAAATACGAAAATTTTAGCCCATCTAAAGGCTAAAATTTTTTTTAGGTCTTAGATCTTTTTATTACCTACAACTTTGCCATTTAACTTTCTTCGATAGGACTTTTAGTTTTGCCGGAAATCGAGATAAACCGTTTTTTACCCTTAAACCCCCCCCCTACCCCTTCCCGACCTCAGATCGCCCGTAAATTATTTTTCCTTTAATTTTTATAATATTCTCCTTCTTTTCCAATAGGTTTCATCCTACTATTATTTTTTTAGGTTTCAAAAATTATCGGCACTGGTCTATTAGATAAGTTATAATATGTAGTTGTAGGAATACTGATAAGCAAATAAATGAATGAATTAGTAAATTAGCTAACCTAAAATTCAGGCTTCTAATTTTATCCACAAAGAAATATGGGCTCGAAAATGGCCCGATCTACTTCAAGAAAAGAATAGTAAGGCCGTGTCGCTATTTTACTCGACTTAGCGGGCGCCCTTGCTTTGTCCCCAGATTCGTTAGAAACATTAAGTCAACAAAAGGTATTATTTTACTGCTGTATTTTGGAGTTTGGACTAAAAAAGCTATTCCCATCAATATAACGTTGTGATATTGTTTCTTTAGAAGACACAGGCTAGAATATAATAACTTACCACATTAATAATAGCCCAGATAAGCGATCCCGTCTCCACTTCGATGCAATGTAAACATTTCCCCTTGTAACACATCGTGAAAACCTGAAGAAAATTCTTTTATTACTATATTATCATTGTTACCGTGTAAAGTAAAGTGATACTTCTACTATTTCAACACGCTTTTGCTCAAAATATCTAATCTGATGAGGAAGCTCGAACAACTGGATTACGTAGTAGGTGTAGGTGATCAGCCACCAGTGCCTGACACAAGCTGTCGACTTTGCGGGTGTAAGGCAAGCCGGTTCCCTCGTGATATTTTCCGTGAAATTTAGGGGTTGTATGTATTTTTGTATGTTGTATCATAAAAATTTATTTTATCTAAAAAATTCAAAAATTAATTGTGGTGTGGACACCCCTTATCATTTGGGGGTTTGAAAGATATATAGTAGCCGATTCTCAGACTTACAGAATATGCATTAAAAATTTCATAAGAATCGGTCGAGCCGTTTCGGAGGAGTATGGGAACGATCATTGTGACACGAGAATTCTATATATATTAGATATTCTGTGATGTGGGTAAGTGTGAGTGGATATCGTAACATAATTCGTCTAGATGGCTTTATTATCGTCTTAACGTCTCTTATTCGCTTCATCATTACAACATGAGACGCAAGCGGTTTGATTGTAGGGAAACAATAATGATTACATTGCCTACATACTAAAGCCGGGCGCATACATACTGATTCCTGATCAGAAATCCTGATCAGGTTTCCTAATCAAGAATTCCATGTGGAGAGCGCACACATTCTGTTTTTTTGCATTCGGAATTTAAACGATCAGTTCGATCATAGACGCTTCTGATAACGCACGAGTATGGACGACGAAGACGAATTGATGCTCATTGCTCTTTTATTGGCGCTAGACAAAAAGGGGAATAAAACGTCGTTATTGGGTGCATCCACTGAATACCCAAAGATTAACTGAGAGTCAATTCTATGTCAAAAGAGCAAAGTTACGGGCATACCCAGAAGAATTCTTCAAATATTACAGGATGTCAATGAAATCCTTTGATGAGCTTCATACGAGATAAAATAAAAAAGCAGGAGAGTGTTACACGTCGTACGTCTACTCGGCACAGCGCGGCGCCAACGCGATTCTGAATGAAAATTTCCGTACGTGTGCGGCGATCGAGCCAAAATGTATGCGAATGCTGCGTTCGGGGTGACGTCATCAGGTTTTTTTCCGTTCTTCCAAAACGAACGCACGGAGAAATTCCGAACCGAACGTCAGGTTTTTTTCTGTCCGGAAAAAGTAAGAACGGTGTGCGCCTTGTCGAACATTTTGTATGCACGCGGACCATTCAGGTTTCCGAATCTGAAACCCTGATACGGAAACCTGATCCGGAATCAGTATGTATGCGCCCGGCATAATAGGTGAGTTTTTAAATTCAGTATAATAAACACCAATGTACTGCATGGCTCAGTAAAAACGGCACTTAAAACCTTGTAATATACTTGAAAAGAAACTTGAAAAACAAGTACGGAAAAGTTTACGAAATATCTATATTACATTTTTTACTATAAAAATTATTTATATACTTAATTATAATTATAGTTATGATTAAAATGAACTACTAAAAGTCAGTTACCCATCTATATATATATATGGTAAATGTCGTGAGATAAAGTGGACAAAGCGAGAGAGGAATGTAATTCTGTATTTATGTACAACAGTACTGTACCAACTTGTTTTATCGAATAAATTTGCCCTTTAGAGGTATGGGTCCAAAAACATTCTTTGTAATTTGTTTACAATAGCTACATTGCTGTATCAAATATCCAAGAGCATTACTAGGAATTCACAGCTTATAGGTATAAACATGAGATGCTTTAGTCAAATTACAAACTTATCAAAGGGAGTCATTGATGATAAAGAGTTAAATTTACACACTCACAAACAGTTTTAAACTAGAATTCAATTCAATAATATGTTTGAAATCAACAAAATTAACTGATTATTTCACTTAATAAGTAAATTTGTTACATTATTTTAAGATTAAAGTAGTTTTGATCGACTTTCAAATCTTTCGGAAGTATATTAAATACATATTTTCTTCATTATATTTTAAAGAACTTTTTACGATACTTGGATTGTTCCCTACGTTGCAATATAGCTGGCATTGCCTAAATAGTAATTCAAATACCTACACACAGTATGCATTTGAATTACTAGTTAAGTACTAGCGTGTAGTACCTTTGTTTTTAAACTATACAAAAATACCTACACCCCTACCTTAAGTGACAATTCATTGGTGTTAAATACGAGATATTAATTATGATTTTTGCTTTTAATTTATAATGTAATTCTGAATTCAGTTTTAAATTTAGAAAATAAACACATGTAGACGATACCCCAGTAGACGATATAAATTACAATGTGGAATACATATTGTGGTAAATACTAAAATGCCACTATCACTACACAGTCTATATATAACAAAACATTCGCCAGTGGAGTACTTAAATAAAACGAATAATAAAAAACAATAAAAGGGGACTTACAGATAACTTCACTGAGATATAAATAGGTACCAAACAAGGTTCACGTACGTCGTGCGCGCACGCAGAATGCAGACGGCAGAATGAAATATGAATGTCAATTGTCAATATGAGTTGAATATCCAATGATGCAGCTTTATAGAGTGAATTTCAAGGTACACGATTTCTTAATATTAAATTTTAGATCATATATATTAATATTAAATATTTAACTTTATTATTTTATCTTTTTCTCATTTTAAGTTTTTGTATTTATTGTATTCCCTGATATTGCATTGCAATGATTTCGTTGATCTGCGTATCTGCTTTATATTTATTTTGCCACAAATGAAATCACCTTTTTGTTCTTTTGTTTAGTATCATACAGATGGGCAGCAAATGTGTAGTTCGGTTACAAAGTGATATTCTGAGTGACTACTTTGTTTCTACTTATCTGAATACAGAGACAATTCTTTGTGTATGTATCTCATTGTACGGAGAACATTAGTGTGGTCCTCCATCGTTAAACCCGAAATTGTAGATTATGATGCTTTAGACGAGACTTTTATCACAATTTTTTTTAAAGGACAACATGATGTAAAGTAACAACACAGGCGCTGACTCATGTGCAGTGAGAAGCATTGGTGCGTTTGATTGTAATTGAACATGTAGACGTCATATCATAACGTATACCTATAACATTATAATATTACTCTTCACGAGTGTGGGTGAAACGCTGCTGACTGATCACAATCAAACGGAAATGCGCTTTCGTTTTACATACTTGCCCCGGCCCCCGTCTGTTCTTCAAGGTCAATATAAAAATAAAACAAGGGCGTTCCACATACGGTGGTGTGTAGCAAAAACTGCATATAAACTCAATTGGAGAGCGTTTTTATATAGGATATATAATTGAGTACACTTACTTATAATGAATTAGGCCTTCACTCGCATCCATCTTGTCTTCTTTGTTAACATAAAGTTTGATAAGGTATTAAAATAAGTGCAACGGCGAAGAAGAATAAAAAATGAAGAAATGCACTATTTATTCGTTTTAAAAGTAGTATTTTTTTAGACTAAATGAAAACTTATATCGCTATAAGTACTTTTAATTATTTTTTATATATATTTGTGAGTTAATTACCTGCTTGAAGATACAAAAAAACTTAACATTTAACGAATACTTGGGGAATAATTTATAGGCATTTTCAACCGTTTAAAAAGCCGTTTATTCTGTCCAGCCGGGCCAATTCAATAGATCACATTTGACAACTGTCAGTTTGGGCTTCATAGTGAGGTCACCTGCAACATCGATTAAAGTGAATGAATCGAATACAATTACTATAAAAAATACACTGTCTTTTGTTTTGAGTTTGGCTATTGGGTAGGGAGCTCCAGGTCGTGGTGGAGATCGACGTTTCTCTCGTAGAAGGGCGCATCGGTCCCTATTCCCATGAATCGCAACTGGAGCTTCTGTAGCTGGTGGATATGGCACATGGTCGGCCTTGTAAAGTGTTACCTTATTTATAAGAGACATGTGACTCCTTTTATTCAGGAGGAAATAGAGGCGAGACAAAAGAGGCCTTCTTGCGAGTGGCGGCTATGTGTTTATGGATATACAAGCCGCTATCGAGAGTAACTCGTAAGTGATCACACGTACCGAGCAAACCGGCGAGACAGTACTCTTGGTCGAGTACTCGGTACGTATAAACATAGCGCCGGCCGCCGAGTTCACGGCCGAGCGCTCGGCCGAAGGAAGTGGCGAGACAATAGCTCGGCTGCCGTTCAACTTACTAGACCGAGTTACTACCCTCCCGCTTCCCGGCACAGTCTCGCTCACTCACTTGGCAGGTTTGAACGTACACTGTCTCGCCGCTCGCCACTCGGCCACATGATTGTCGCGACGACGCACGTGGTTTTTTTGAGTCAACATAGTCTGCAAATATCAAATGGAACGTCGAAACAACTATTGCTTTTATACAGTTACATAAACTACATCCGTGTGTGTGGAACTTTAAATCTCCTGAATACAAGATAAAGCAAAAACGGGATGCAGCATATAATTCCAAAATTAAAGGAATGAATATAACGGGATTTGGTACGCTAGATGTTAAAATACATTAACGATCCATCTTGTCCGAATTGTAGTCTCAATAGAACCATAGATTTCAAAATTTGTGTGAACAGCTACTCGCTTACTACACTGTTTCGGCCGAGTAACATTTTACTGTTTCGCCGGTTTGCTCGGTACGTGTGATCAAGGCATTAGATATTTGACGGACTTTTGACACGGGGTGGCTTGCCCGTATAGGGTTACCTCTTTTTTTGAGGCGTAATTTTTCCCGAGATTGAGCGAGACCGCACCGGAGAGAGCACCGGGGTTCCCCTGGCAAAGAGAACGACGATCTTCTCGGGTTTTATTTGGAAGCCCCATCTTTAACCGTTTAAAACAAGAGCTGGTAACGAACATAAAATTAGTGCAGTGGGGATACGACGCAGCACCAACAAGAAACTGTAACTTTATTTGTGTACTCTTAAATCTAAGTGACACATCTGTTACCTATAAAGAATATAAAGCCGAATTTACATTACGAAACTAGTGGCTCGGAATTAGTTTTATGACATAAATTTCATCAACAATTTCACGTGTAAATTTACAGTTTCATAATGCATGCATCGGTTTCGCGACACTGGATAAATTTCGTGCCATGCGCATTTTTTTTGTAAAACTAATGTCACGCAACTACTTTCACGATGAAAACGCGACACGAAACTAGTGTCGCGAAAGCATTTGCACAGGGCAGACGTGTGTGTTTGAGTGCATCGTGCAGCTAAATGACCGCCAAAATGGCAAACCAACGTTGGTCAGTTGATAAAAATATAAAATTCATTAACGAACATCTAACATCTGTACCACGACGTTCTGCATCGCAAAATGAAGCTTTGATGTTGACAGAGCCATGTCGTTGGTGATACTGTTGATTTCACGACACTATTATTTTTTGTTAAAGTAGTTTCACACGTGCTGCAACTATTTTCATGAAACTCATTCCAACATGCATAACACTAGTTTCGTAATGTAAATTCGGCTTAAGTGTAGTCGACCTATTGGACGATCGGAAACGAATTTATGAATGTATGAAAAACTGAAAGCCCCATTTATTACTACAAAAACTTACATTTTAGAATTTATTGGTTTTGGAATTTACAAGTGTAGGTAAGGTGATGATAAGTTTGTTATAAATAGCTTTTTATTATTAACTAAAACATATGTAACTTAACTGACGAAAGGTCAAATAACAAGTATATGAAAATATATTTCTAGCTTTCTCATACATATGAATTTAAAAATTTGCCAAAACTCTTAATTACCATACAATGATTTGATTTCCCTAACTCATACACTCACTAATGCACTCAGGCGTGCTGAAAATACAAAAATAATTAAAAAGATGTAATAGAGATGAAGTAGATAGTACTTTCCTCGCTCAACGAATAAGTATCGCAATACAGCGAGGAAATGCTGCCAGCGTTTAAGGTACATTGCCACAGGGACCAAACTTTTTAAATTTGTTTTGATTTTCTTTTTAATAATTTTTATTATTACTTTGTAGGGTAAGAAAATTGTAAATACTGTATACTTGATTGTAAAGATGTAATTAGATTATATATATATATAGTATATACACATATATATTTTAATGGTATTAACTAAACGTAAAGTAAGTTTGTTATGGAAGAGCTGGGAACCTTTTTTTACTTAAAAGGGTTCCCAAATCTTACACATTATAATTGTCAATTTAATTAAATTTTTCAAAATTAAAAAGTTCAAAATTATTGTTGTCAAATGAATAAACACATTTTTATTTTTTTAATGATAATTTATTGCACTAAAACTAAACATAGTTTTTTTATGTCAAATATTATTCATGAGAATCCGTGGTTTCCGTTGTTATAATTCTTAATTTTCGCATGCGTTTGTGCCACCAAAATAACTACCAGAATGTCGAGAACTGAAAATTAAATATATATGAACAAAATAGATATGTCGTTACATATAATATGAAATGATGCATTTGTATACTTTTTAATCGAGCAAGGAGCATAGACCAATGAAATGCATTGAAATATTAAAATGTTGAGATAATCTGTATTTAAACAAAACAAAATAATTGAATCTAAATAAGCAGAGCATTGTTGGCCTAGTGGCTTCATCGTGCGACTCGTATCTCTGAGGTCGTAGGTTCGATTCCCGGCTGTGCACCAACTAGACTTTCTTTCCATGTGCGCATAATACGCTCAAACGGTAAAAACATTGTGAGGAAACCGGCTTGCCTTAGACCTACAAAGTCGACGGCGTGTATCAGGCACAGGATGCAGATCACGTATTTGCCTATAAGATTGACAAACGATCATGAATCAGATATATAAATCCGAGGCCCAGACCTAAAATGGCTGTAGCGCCACTGATTTTTTTTAAACAATGTGTTAAACGTTTCAATCCAGGTATGAGGCCGTTCATGTATTACGAAATCGATATAGGGGGAGGGACGGGGGTTGTGTCTTTGATTGATTGTGAATTGCAGTAAATCTGTTTACTTAGGTAATACTTGAACGGCCCGTATAATGACACTGCCTTGAATAAACTTACCAGTTACAAGACACAATGCAATGCACCATACATTCACAGTAAAAGCCAAAGTTATAATACCAAGAGCCCTCAATACTGTTTCTATAATGTATAAAATCACGTATGCTAGTACCAAGCCCGATTTTTTCTGAAATAAACAAGTTCTATCATAACATCATCATCACACAGTTTTTTTTTATATAGCAAACGAGCCTGCGGGACGCCCAAAAAGGGCAGTCATCGCAGCCCATAGACACCCTTTTATAGTGGGTGCGTTGCCGGCCTTTGAAAATTCGAATCTTTAATAGTTGGAGGTCGTATCTCTCAGTGAAGACCCCCAACAGGAGTCGATTCCACAGTTCGCTAGTTCGCAAAAGAAAATGTCTTGTGAAACTGTGGAAGACTACCAGCCATCAAGATGATGATGATGAAATTTTGAATTTATACGGCTCGTACGGTATTTTTTAATTTATTTATTTCGTTAGCTGTAGTAAATTACAGCTACCAATACAACAAAAAAGTGCGTGCGTACAAAGTACACATGTCAAAAGTGAAACTTCTTTGGCAAACTAATTTTTAAGTCTTGTTCATATTTATACAAATCTAAAACTAGATTTCCGAGACTCAGAGGGAGGGAAAAAGGGAGATATGTTAGGAATTTAATTATCATTTAAATATTAAAAGTGTCGAAAATTAATACATTTAATAAATATAATTTTTTAAATTTTTTTCTTCGATAATAAAACACGTGATATTTTAATTTAGAATTCGTCATTTGAGATTTCAATAAATTATTTTGCATAAAATATAAAATACTAATATTTTATAATTTCTCTTTACGAAATTTTAATTTTAAAAATATAATTTCTATAAGGTAATTCACCCTTCTCACTCTCTCTCAATCGGTCTCAATCGCTCTCTCCCTTTTCTTCGGCAAAAACGCTGCACATTTTCGTGACGTTTTTTTAAAAATTTTACCATCATGCGACTTAAGAAGTTTCACTCCAAAAACAATTATACTATAATATTGTATATATTAAAAGGTTAAAATATTAAGAATAGGAAAAAATCAATAAAAATTATTAAATACCTACGCTGTGTGTTTTTCGGCTATGCTGTGTGAAGGTGTGAAAGTGATCAAAGTATTAAAAGCGAACAAGGTATGTAAATGTCTTTGGTGGAATACTATTTACATTTAAATTTATCTTTGACCATGATAATATGTCAAATCCAAAACACATTTGACAAATGTGAATCGTGCTATATCTCGACTTGAATATTTTTAGGGTAGGTAAAAATCTTCAAAAGCGGTGTTGGCCTAGTGCCTTCAGCGTAGTACTGTGATCCCTGAGGTTGTAGGTTGGATTCCCGGCTGTGCACCAATGGATTTTTTTTCTATGTGCGCATTTCACATTCGCTCAAACACGCAAACCCAAAAAGTCGGGATACATAAATCTGAGGCTTTTTTTAGTTAAAAATCTAAATAACCCCTACAAAATTCATTCACGTAAAATACAATAATATAATGTTAATATGTGCAAAACTGCGAATGTAAATACTTAATATTTACCCATGAACCAACTGGTTCATGGGTATGTATAATTAAATCGCGATTTAAAACGGCCGAATGTTAAAATCCAATAAATTTTTGACCTAGGGTATTCAGACTTATGATAAGTTTCTGAATGGTGTACTTAAGGCCCTATCCCAGCACGAATTGCTGTGTCAGTGACTCGAGAGCTGGAGCACTGAGGCGCTCGGGCCCGTAATAACAATTAGTTATGTAAAACATTAAATTAATGTAATTTTTTTTTTCTGAAATGGATTACTTGGCTAGCGATAAAATTGTGTCAAAAATTGATTGTTTGGATTTTTTTTCTATCAAGCGAAGTTATTAAAATCGTGTAGCGATCTTTCAAAATGGATACATAAACTCAACTCCACCATATATTTTTTTCCATTCTCCCTACTTAAAGCAATGATGACGCAAAATAGAAAGACACAATGTACTTTTTTGGAGTTTGGCGACCAGATCGGACCTTAAGAAAAGAGTAAACAATTTTTGGTAATGTTGGTAACAATACTTACATGTATTACACCGAAGAGTAAAAACAAGGAAAACATTATTTTTAATCCGAAAATAGCCAGGCCAACTAAGTATGCGATACTGATATTATGGACCAGTTCCATATTTTCTTTCATGTTATTTATTTTAATTAAACCGTTAATAATGGCTAAAGTGCTCACTCCCAACGCGACCTGAAAGTGTAATGTGATTATTACAAACGAATAAGACGTAGACAGATACTAATTCTTCTTGCAAGAAGTGATAATACTAAAAAAAACTATATTCTATAATTTGCTTCATAAAAGCAAATTTTTTGACCAATCCCAAAAATACTTCTTTTTTATTGAACATATGAAATGGGCTATGTTATATTAAGTGATACCGCTAATACCACGTTAATGTGCGCACTGACACAGGCCTCGCTAATGCGGCCTTTAAAATGAAATAGAACTCCATCATCGTATGTCAAGATAGAATGCGAAATTCCAACTTGACGTTTGTGAAGCGCCGGTCTCATAAAATAAGTCTATGCATTGCTTTTATAACTCAACTAGCTAACCCAGAAAATGGTGTATAGATATAAAGGATACCTAAGGAAATTTACATTCTACGGTTGATTTCAGTTAATTCAGTGGAATTTAATTGTCTGGCGTAGTATGTTTACTTATAATCGTGTAAATTAATTCGCGTGAAAGAAGTTCTGACTATTTTTAATTAATTTTTAATGATTTTTTTAAAACCGATGTACACGACCAAACAATAAAATGTGTACTTTGTTACCTATATGAAAAAAGATATTATGAGTTTCAGTATCAATTTAAAATCTTTTCCTACTTCGGTTTCCATCTTTTCTCAACCATGTTTAAGTCGCGACCTACGAAAAGCCAAAAAGTATATTTGTTCATTCCTTTAATAAACGAATCTTTTGTACCTATACGTTTATGTTTGTATTTATGATTTTTCAACACCGTGATTTTTTTTATTTTTAATTCGACCCCCCGCTTGAGAAACGATGATCTATTCTAATACAAATCTACTTTCATATACATAAATCGGTCAAGCCGTTTCAATGAGATTTTTATATATTTAGACCATTTCTTCGAGCCCTTCATAACAAAACGCCATCAATGCTTACAACTGTCGTCAACTTACAAGTTCAAAAATCGCCCATATTAATGATCCGGTCTCCAATTCGCAACAGCAACATTTTCCTTTGTGGCACATTTGATTCCTCGTGATACAAGTAGTCTTAAGACTGATGAACTGGTACGCCTTCGTAGCTTACTCGCACAAAGTTAATGCTGTTATCTTGGAGACACAGGATAGTTACTATGACGGAAGAAGGAACGATATAAAGCACTTATTTAAAATAAAAAGAAAAAAATTATATGTAAATGAACAGTTTGTGGGTCTCACCCCTAACATTGCATTCAGTTTATAGACATGTATTTAATCTTAAAAAGATTACACTCACTTATATGAGATTACACTTAAATCTAAAAAAAATCATGTTGTCATATCTGCAGTGCCTGCGCCTGTGCGCATTCACCCTCACTATATAGTGAATAATATCTATATAGATAATATTGCTTAAAAAAGTTATTCGGTGATAACCCTTTTCCCATAGTTCTCGGTCCTAGGCCTGGGCAAAACCAAATGAATACATCGCCGAGTAGTTTGTATAGTAGAAGACCTTATTGTATACCTTAATTAACAGGCAGTGTAAATATATAATTGCTTTTCGTTCATTTTTTATTGCTGTTCAAATGTGATTTGGTTCAGTTGATTTGTGCATTTGCTTGTACGGAAAACAATGTGAAGGAAACCCGGCAAGCTTAAGTCCACAAATAATAATACGACGGCGAATAGCTATTTATGTATTTGTATCGAGAAAAAAATGACCACGAAATAGATATGAGGCCAAAGACCGCCGTTGCCTATAGATATAGAACTGTGTCTGTCTATTTATTTCTCCTAAATATTTAGTTGCATTTCGCCTACTATAGAGACTGAAGGCTTTAGAATTATAATTAAGAACTCTGAGGCAGCCATCACTTTTCGTAAAAGGTAATAAAAAATACCAGCCCGAACTGAGGGATCCTTGAGCACATGCTTGCACATGGTTTATTAGCAAATTTTAAACATAAACGCCGATAATAGAATACGTTGATTTTATTTAGCGTACTTAAAATAACAAAATCCAATAAAAACTTACCAAATAATTCTCACTGGTTAAATTTATTTGAAGGATCTTTTCTACAGAATTCTAATTACGTGTGTATACGATGACATTACAAGCAAAAATATCCTAGTTGCAAGTTTATAAATTATAACAATAATGATAAGGTATTGGGTTTTATGACCAATTATGATCTAAATTTAGTTTTTCCTTAAGCCAAAATTTATACATGTTAGCGCCAAATTATTATTTTAATATGATGTAGGTATTTACCTTAAATACTTTGTGATACCGCCGCCCATGGACACTCAATTCCAAGGCTCGCAAGGGCGTTGCCGGCCTTTTAAGAATTAGTACGCTCTTTTCTTGAAGGACCTTAACTCGAATTAGTTCGAAAATACTGCAGCTGGTTACACATAGTGGTGGTGCGCGACAAAAACTGCATTGAAAAGCGCTCAGTCGTGGAACGACGGACGTCGAGGTGATACGGGTGCAGTTTCGTATTCTGCCTCGACGTCTGATGATGAAACTCAGCTGCAGGTATTAATCCGAACGACTCCTTTGAACACTCTCCATGGCAAATGCAAATTGGTTCGGAAATATTTCCTTGGGCAGCTGGTTTCACATAGTGGTGGTGCAAGGAAAAAACTGCATTAAAAAAACGCTCAGACGTGGAACGACAGTTCAGTTCTACTAAAACTAGACTTCTCACAAAAATCTCATTACATATTATTTTAAATGAAGAAATAAAAATTCACAATCATTGCTATCGTTTATTGATTTAAAATACAAAACTTAGTGACATAAAGCTCTATCCTTTTATTGTTACAGTGCCTGCGAACTGACAATCCGATAGGAAATAAACATATAATTCCGAACACACCACATAATGTCACAAATAAATATTATACATTACATATTGAAGCGCAAGTATGTAGGGCCTTCCTGTATATGCTTTCTGGACCCTGAGCGCGAAAACTCGACAAAACTCGTATCGTCTCCAAATGTGTTATTTTGTCCAGTGTTCGGACCATTCCCGCCAAATCCAATACAAATTTCACGCAGACCATTCTCGAAATTCCCGCGCTCAGGCCCCAGTTCACTTGATCGCTATTTCGTAAAAATAATCGCAGGTTTCCAATCTTATATGCACTTCGACATCGACTTACTTTCTGATATCACATTTTAAAAGCGGCGATTAAAAAATATTCGTGAAAGAAGACGAGAAAATAAGTCAACAACGAGTATCGTAAACTCAAACGTCACGGCCAAGTACAATCAATAAGAAAATAAGTTACATTTGGAAACCCACCTATCATATATCACCCTACTAATGAATATCTTGTTTCCCATACCTATTTCTTATTCCTAACAGTCCTATACCTCATGAAGCAAAAAAGTATTATATTATGATACAGATTAAGAGTCGGATAGATTCAAATCTACAATTAAAACGGAAGTAGCGAAGGGCGAATACTTTGATGCTTCATGTTCATACAAATTGTGTATTTTAAAATAATCTTTTGGGGGGAAGGAGCGTTATAAAAACGGCAACATTCTGCAGCACAAAAAAATCTGCGTAGTTGCAATATCAATTAGCGGCATACCTCTAAACGTTTCTCAGTCGTCCAACTATAAACAATTGAAAAAAATATAGTTCGCTAATTCACGGTCGTCCAGAGAGATTCCGCTAATCCAACGCCCGCTACAGACGCGACTATTGAACGGACGCACCAAGTCTTTTATTCGTATGACAGTTGATAAATCAATTAAGATAGTAGTAATTAGTGAGAAGAACTTATATAAACGATACATATGATTTGAACATTTCGTAAAATTAGTAACTTAGTGTAATGTGCCAACACGGCACCTGATTATGTAATGTGATGGCTAAAAAGTGGCTCATAAAATAGCAATAGTGATAGCGATCGCATAATCGCAGTCGCGGGTATGTAGCGGGCCTCATCCATAAAAGTTCCGGCACAGTAAGGCAGTGATTGAGTTTGCTATACAAAATATCTCCGATACAAATTTACGAGCAGTCTGCGTTGAGGTTAGTCTATTGTAGATTCAAATCCAAAAAGGTTGAACGAGTCAGATTATTTTATTTATTACTCCTAGCTGAAATACCCAAAATTTTTATAATATGTTTCAACATTCCCATAACCTACAAGTACATTTGTGTTTTATAGAATTACCTATACACTATTCATCGGTTTTACATATCTTCAGAATATTCCAATGGGTTAAAAAATAACCTATATTTACGTAACACAATACGCGTGTCAATGTACATAACCTCAAATCTTATGCATTCGAGATTGGAAATAAAACATTATACAAATATACAACAACTCTGAAATGCGAGGGCAAAGTTTCAAATTATTTCCGTTTATTTTCCGTCCGAGAGGATCTCAACGAATCGAATCGATGCAAAAAATACCCTTACAAATATAATTTACGTCAATTTGAGATACAAAATGAAATTTCAGTTTGGCCCTTTGGTAGTCAGTCAGTTGCCGACACTTTAAAATATAAAGCTTGCGATTAACTGAATGAAGCTTAACTAGCATAGATGTAACTAAACTATAGATTAACCGGCGTAACTTGCAGTCTGTACCATTAGTCTGTTTCCTAAATATGTACAATATTTATTTTCTACCATATTGCGTCCATGATATGCATTGCGTAACAATAAAAAAACCTAGCTTTCATGCCCTCTGCGTCCGGTCGGTGTAAGTACAATACAATGTAACATCGTCACCGCACTTTAGTCAGACTTATCGCGTTAAATAAAAATATAGAATTATAAATATGGTTTGTTTCAGTCCGAGTGTTGCCACATTGTACTAGTTCGCTAGTCCAACGTCATTTCCTATGATTACGCACTACCGCCGTCCGGCGTGAACCGTGCTCTACGTGGAGCGACTTTAACTTATCCTACACAGCTCACATCCGCTTCGCCTCAACATTAGAGCGTCTGTCTTTATGGAGCAATGAATTAAACTAAGTCAGTTCGCGGCGTCGCGCGACGCACTCGACACCACTCGCCACCACCGGTCGCCACTCGTCACCACTCATCGCCACTCGTACACTTGAGCACTGAGAACTTACACGTTCGAGTCACACTTCACATCGCGCAAAGTACGTTAGCGTCTGTTCCTGCGTTTGCGTGTCCGTCTGTCCTCGGTGGGTTCGGGCGTTGGGCACGCGTGGGTCCTTCGCGTGCGACGCCGGGTGTCACGCTAGTGTATGGCGACGGGACTGTGCTGGCACACGGGCTGCAGCATGTCCTCGTCGCGTCGGACGTTCTCCACTTCCATGCGCTCGGCACCGCCCCACAGCCTGGCGCCTCCCACTACCGCACCACATTGCATACGTTACGCATAGTACTGGAGTTATACTTGTACTGGGTCACTTTTCATACGTAGGTAGTGGATCTATGTTTAAATTGAGTAACTCCGTATATAATTGTAATATCAGAACATAAAGTTACGATTTTTATACGAATCGTTCATACAAAAAATATATTGCAAACACTAAGTGTCATTAGCCAGAGATCTGGCTAGTTCTAGTTTTGAACATTTACTAAATTTTAGTACTAAAACGATTAAGTTAATCCACTACTTACGAGACTTGGTGTCAAAAACTGCAATCAGTACAAGTATAACTTCAGGTATTCAATTCTAAAAGCAAATCTAAGTGTCTAAATTCTGGGAAAACCTCAACTAATGCGACTATTAGTCGCTCGTGTATTCCAAACTTGCGCAAGAACATAAAAGGACAAAGATTGCATAGAGAGCGCATAAAGAAAAAATGAAATAGCCATGCACGTGAAACGCAAGGGGCATGCATGACGATGCAGTTGAATGATTGTTGGACGTAAAAAACATGTTTCTAATATAATTTATTAACTAAATATTTTAAATAGAACGTGCTATTTTGCAAGATATTCATTACGTCCAACGTGATAAAAACTTGCAATTCACTTAACGTCTTTATTTTCTCAACTATTTTGTCAAATTTGCACTTCAAGAACTGATTTACTCTATGATTCTAACGTACAGATATTATCTTATTTGTATGATAATAGAGCAGTTGTATACCGTCGCTGTATAATGATAACCTCGTATGTCAAAAAACTATTTATTTTTTATTCTTAGAGTCTTATGTCATTTAACTGGTATAATCATGAAGTAAGCACTTATTTGTGTTATTAATAAATTTACCCTTTTTACCATCCACAACTATGGACATAATAATATTTTAACGAACATTGACGAAATTAATTATTTTTTTCGTTTCCTGTAATTTTTGGTTCTCCGGACATACCAGGTTATCATTCTACAGCGACGATATGCATATCTAACTAACATATGTATTTGATAAAATAATAATTCAAATCTTTGAATAGAGATTTATTTTAATATTACTTCCAAATAAGTACTACACATATCAACTTCCGCTTTAGTTCAGTAGTGATGGATAAAAACAAAACAAATGATTGGGTCTCTTCGTCCATATAACAGAAGTTTGTGTACATAAAAATTTGCACTAAAAAGTGTCAAGTGAATTGCAAGTGGCGGTTAGGGTGCTAGAGTATCGGCGAGTGAGTCAGACCTGTGACAAGTTAGGCGGCGTTAGTGTCGCGAGGGAGCGCCGCCGGACCGCTCTAGTCATCGCGGATCCGACGGACCATCTGCCATCAACAACCACCAGTTATTTCATGGAAATCACCTTGTAATGCGTTATGATTGTTGCGCTTAGAGTTTTTAAGCTTTTAAAATAATTTAGGACGAATCAAATTACATATAAATTTGGAAAACCTAATGGCTCATTACTGAAACGTGTTATAGACTAACATTAGTACGGCAAGAGACTACTAGACCTACTTTAATCTAAGTAAATTTTTAGTCTTTCGCCCGACTTAAGCGTTTGTTGCTTTATTAAAAGAAGGTACATCTATCGATCTGGTATTCAACAAATGTGTATATTTCAGAACAAGTAGTTCAATTCTCAAGCTAAGATAAACTTGTAGAATTTTTTTTTATTTTATTCATAGAAACAATCGTATTCAATCTTCACGGTACATCTTGATTAAGCATTTAAAAAATCATAACGCAACAATCATAACGCTTCTTGCATATTTTACAAAGCTTTTGTCACACCTTTTTTTTCTGTAAATAAGTTAATACACATACATATACAAGCTTTTTGTGTGACTAGACTTTAATTAGGTAACTTCCATGACGAAGAGCCATTGGGAGCCGCGTACAAATGAAATGATGATGTTAGCACACGACAAGCGTCGGCGATGTTAGACATCTACACAGTAAAGGCTCGATGTCACTGTAAAATTGTAAACAGCGCCATCTAACTCGCCATATTGTAAACAATTAAACATTTGTATGTGTAAGAGAAATGGATGAGTGCCACCCCTAAGGGCCCGCATTACATCCTTCTTTTGTTTAAGCTTCTGTGAAAAGGCAATAGTTTTACTTCGATAATGTCTTTCATGGAGTATAATTTAAATAGCGTGGGCAGTTTTTCCGGCAACAATACGGCGAGATTGTTATTATTTACAATTTTACAGTGGCATGTAACATTTAAAATAGCTGCATGATAGATGTCGATGATGTATTTAGTTAAACCAAATTTTCAACATTAAAATGTTCCATGAACCATGAATTAAATTCTTCTAGAAGTATTGACACCCTAACAAATGACACATATTATAAGCCTCTCCCTTCCAAGCCAAATTTGTTTCCCCAGTGATCAAATCTGCGATCTCTTGGCTTATATAAACCATGTGTTCATACTTTATTTATTCGTAAGATATATATAACCATGTATATTTTAAATTGTATCTCGTATAAAAGGCAGTTTGAATTTCAATTTAATGAGATTTTAGATTAAAAATGCCATTAACTTTATATTGACAACTTCAACTATATCTGATCGAATATAAAATACCATAAATTATATTTTTTATTTCATTAAATATATTGTTGCATAAAAAACATTAAAGTTTTACTTAAAACCTTTCATCTGATTTTCTGTTGAAATGAAAACGCGTTTTTCATTTTTAAAGTTTCTACACATTTAATTTTTGAAGCGTTTAATGAACACATAAATTTTTACAAAATCTATTTTTATTTTTTTATTTTATAATCACTGCACTATTGCACTTATCATTTACCTTATTGAAATCTAGCGTTAAATAATTTGAAACCTTATAGTTGTCAATATAAAGTCGAAAATCAAAAAGCACCTTTACCGTGTTGGTGGTGCGACTGCGACTGCGCTTGCGCCTGTTGCGTGTTGGTGGATTCGTCTGCGGTGCGCTTGAAGAAGTTGTGTTGGAGGGCGTAGTAGGGTGTCACGCGCTGTTTGGGGTCGTATTCCAGCATACGGAGTATCAGGTCCTACAATTTAATTAATATGTTTAAAAAACTGCTTAAACGTATAAGTAATACATAAAATTTATTACATTAACTAAATGGTTTTAAGCAAATATTGTGATTTTTTTTTACAATTTAAGTATATTAAAAGCTAGCGGTTTTGATTCGTTCATTAAATGCAACTCTAGAGCCATCTACTTTTTGAAACATCAACAATATGTATTGTATTTTTATTATTTTTTTTTATTTATTTACACTTCGTTGCAAAAAACAAAGAATGATACACAATACAAAAAAATTATAAGGGATGCAACGGGCGGCCTTATCGCTAATAAGCGATCTCTTCCAGGCAACCCTAGTTAAAGAGAAAAACTAAAAAAAAGAAACATGATGCGTGCGAGAAGTGCAGAAACAAATGTTATATAAAAAAATATATATATATACATAGTACCTTAATCTAAAGTAATACAAAAAAAAATATATTAACAACAGACTAAAAACTTAAAAGCTAATCTTACAAATACATGGACAGCAAATAGTGATGTAAAAGGAAACATAAGATTTATACAAGTCACGATTGATCAGGATAGGATAAGGTTAAGAAATGATTATACAGAAGAGTTTTAAAAGATGAAAGAGAGGTAGCCAATCGTACGGCTTATTCGTGGTTTTCAATTATGGTATAATCGTATTGTACCATAATTGAAAACTACAATTTATTTGGCTTCAATTACTAAGAAGCCACATGCCGAAATATTCGCAAATGAAATATCTCTCTATTTAAATATATAAAAGGTATACCTTAAACTTGAGGTAATCTGAGACTGAATGTCCAGGCTCCCCACGGCGTCTCGCTGCCGGACCACCTCCTTCCACGCCCAGTATATCGTGAAGCCGTCTAGTTCCCGCCGCGCGGTACTTTCTATAACCACTAAGGAAAAATTTTATGATTTTTATTAAGGGATGCGGACCAATGTTAAACGTGCAAAGTAGTGGTTGAATTGAGTGGATTACCCACAGATAAATTAAGGTAATCTCGCGGCACTTGCCTTCTATCCCTATCTAGTTATAATTAAAAAAATATATAGACAGAAAACAGGCATCGCGGGTAGTTTAAATAATAATTTTAATCCCTCTAAGTCTCGGAAATTTAAAGTTTTAGATTTGTATATATATATGAACAAGAGTTAAAAATTAGTTTGCCAAAGAAGTTTCACTTCTGACATGTCTATTTTGTACGCACGCACTTTTTTATAGCTAGAAACGCTAAAGCAACACAAAAGTTAGCCTAGATTTATTCAAGTAATGATGAACGTATGTCTTACCCATCCTTACTAGCTACTTTCTTCAAAACGTAACCGCCGCCCTCGGACGCCGGTAATTTGTCGAAGAACTTTCTAGTTTTGTGTGCCTGAAATATTAATTCAATCGTTAATTACTAGCTTCTAGTTCATTAAATTGTGTAGACAAACTTCAGTGTTACCATATTAAAATATCGAAGGAGAGGTGTTAAATAAAGTAAGACCTCCTAATAAAGTAGTGACCAATAAGTGATATTCGTAATCGTCTAAAGAGAAACTTACAATAACAAAACATTCAAGGCAATTTTTTTCGGCATTCTTAAAAATGTTTGTGATTAAAAGGTTCGCTTTTAAGCCGGTAGATAACCAAAAAAACAAGTCGTAGTCGTAAAGAACTAAATAAACAATATTTCAAACACTAAAGAGCTATTAAACATTTGTCTCTTTCGGCCAAATCGTGTTTATCCTGTCAGGTACTTTAGTTAAAACGGTGCAATCATACTGATTTGTTTTTGATAAGGGGAATTATCTCGTCATAGTCGTAGAATAGTGACGGATCTGACAAATAGTAAACTTTACAGGGCAGCCATTTCAAAATAATATAATCATGTTAGTTTTTTTTGGTCATAACTATTTTAATTCACATTCTGTTATAATGAAAATTGGCATACAAGCTAACAAAAGGGTTTGTTTACAAAGTAAATAAAAATAATAACATTAAATTACAGTGTTCTAGAAAAATCACATGCTTATATGAGCGTATTAAATCTTTACCTTGACTGGTTAATTTGAAATTTACATGAATTTTTTTTAATGTAGCCGTAATATTTAGTCAATGTAGTATCCAAATATGAGAAAAATTTTATTTTGGATTTATTTTAAATCATTGTTCTACGATCATGACGATCTGATCACAAAAATAAAAATTACAGACAAAAACATCGTTAACGAATTTCACTTTTAAAATACAAGTGAACAATTAGGCACAGAGACCTTAGACATAAGATTAATGAACTAGAAACTACAACTTAAGAAATAATAATAGTATTCAGTTACCGGATAATTTAACAAGTGGGCAAGGTTTTGTGAAGCGAACCAACAATAATTATAGAGCGAAGTGAACAATATCAATAACTAATAACGAAACACTAAACTAGGTCAGACAACCACAATAACACAATAAGGGCAATTAAACGGTGTTTAGACAGTCCCAACTTTGACAATTAACATAAATATTCAACTGTTACTCGATCGTGTGGAACATCTTGTATAGAAATAGTCTTGATACTTGAAAGATATATTGTGGTTGAAATTTTTTATAACATACGAGTTTAGCATGGTTATTTATAGAATTGATACTTTGAATACACATGAATATAATTCATCTTAGAACTCAACTATTTGCTTAGATTATTCGCCTTTTAAAAGGTTATCAAATGAAATTTATTAACTTGTGTGAAATTTTAAATAATTGTGGCTCTGGCTTCCTTGCTAAGAGAACTTTCTATGATTTTTTTTATATTTCTAATACTTGATGTAGTATTTCGTTTTCATTGCATTTGATTCATCTACCTACTCTTAAATTTCAGACTATTCAGCTTACTTATACGCAAATAAGTTTTAGTGGGGTTGTTGTATGGGAAGTCTTGTTTGAAAAAAGATGAGGCATTTACATGATAATATATTATATTAAATATTATCTTGATTAGCAGTAATATCATATATATTTTGATATGATAATATTTTTTTAAGACAAGTAGATGATCAGTTGTTCTCCTTCAGCGTACGAGTGTTAAATGCGTACATAAAAATCTATTGGAGTATAGCCGTGATGACCTCAGGGTTGGATGCATAAGCCACTGTGGGAGCGTTCAAGTATTACGTAACGAATTTTGGTCCATTTGTAAAACGTTAGGATGCGGGGCGGGAATTGAATTACGCGTTATTGTTAATATTATTTTCGACTTTCCAGTATTTTACACCACATAATGGTAACTTTTAGGTATAAAGAGTCATTGGTCACGAAACGTTTTACTATTGGGTACAGAAAAACGTTACGGCGCGTTACATGGGGGGGGGGGTCAATTATTTCCAATTGCGTGACGTAATACTTGAACGCTCCGTATGCCAATACTGCTTATTTATTTAGGTTTCAATTTCCTTTCTAAGTCCAAACAAAAAAAAATCCTAGCAAAGGAAACTATACCTGATCCAACAAATGATCTGGCGGCATTCCAAGAACTTCGACAATCTTGTTCATCTGGTCCAGCTCGTTGGCGCCACTGAACAGTGGTTCTCCTGTGTGCATCTCCACCAATATACATCCAAGAGACCACATATCTATGGCCAGGTCGTAAGGGATGCCCAACAATACTTCCGGCGACCGGTAGAATCTCGATTGAATGTATTGGTATATCTGAAAATAATTTATTGTTTATGGTATCTGTTAACGAATCGAAGATTGCTCCAGTAGTATATTAAAGCGAAACTTGAGTTCGCTTGGATTCCAAATATTGGCTTTTGGAAGCTTCGCCCAAACGTCAGGTAATATTATATTAGAAAAAAATAAAGTATCTAAGCGCTTTTAAAAATTCCTTTAAAATTATCTCTCATATATATTCATTCTAATACGTAAATTAAGTTTATTATTGCCCTTGATTCAACTTTATCACAAATTGATAACGATTGCATAACAAATATCGTCTTATCGTAGGCCGTTATCATTTTGGTAAAACCACTTTAAACCGGATCTTTTTGTTAGTTTGTTTGAGTTTGGTATTTAAATTCCAAATGATGCAATATTAGTTAACATTATTTTAATGTAAATACACGTGTTTTAATTTTTAAACGTTTTGTTATTCAGTCAACTTTACTGTTAAAATAATTGTATAATTGTGAATTTCAACGCATTTTAATTAGTAATTTATTTTGCTTATTATCGGTCATGTTGCGAACGACAACATTATGAAAATTATAACCGGACATTATTTTTTTTCTAAAAAACCTTCAAAATCAAAACATTCAGAATCATAGATAAACTATTGAAACGATATCATTATTAGTCTGTATCGTATGAGAAGCTTCGTGGGATATAAGGTCGCTAAATTACCCTTCAAAAACAGTGTTGCCAACTCAATAAATTTTGTGTGGCTACGTCATTATAGATTAATAATCTTGATACTTTATGAAATGTCAATGCGTAATAAGAATTATATTATTATATTCATTTCGTCGGATCTCTTCCGCAGACTTAATAACGCTAATACACCAAATCACGTGTTGCTCAGATTTCATTGAGAATGTCTCGGGTTATCAGAAACTGCGCGTCAATTGCTTTGTCTAAACCGACTGGGGAATAATTCTCACTGTTTATATAAACAATACAATTATAGCTTGATTCTCGAGCAATTAATTTGAGACTAATTAGAGTACATTTTGTGATTTCCTCGTTTATGCTTGATTAATGTTGTGTCGACATGGACGCTCGTTTAAATTAAATGAGTTTCGTGGGAATGACTTATTAAATATATTTTATGTAATTCTTCAAATGCTGACTTAAATTTTATTTATAAAAATCAGTGGCGCTTCAATTTTTAGCTTTTTAGGTCTGGACCTCAGATTTCTGTATCTGTTGCATTTGTAAATCTAAAAGGCAAGAAGGTGATCAGCGTCCTGTGCCTGACACAGGCCTTCGACTTTTTAGGTCTAAGGAAAGCCGGTTTCCTCATGATGTTTTCCATCACCGTTCGAGCGAATGTTAAATGCGTACATAGAAAGAAAGTACATCGGAGTACAGCCGGGGATAGAACGTACGACATTAAAGATGAGAGGCGCACGCTGAAGGTACTAGACACTGCTGTTTAAATTTGATTCATTATACTTTATTATGCTTCATAGTAGTTTTTTTAGAAGAAGGCTCTACGACAGTTTCCACTACGAACGTATATATATAGTACTCACCCTTTGACCTAGTTGACACGAGCTACCAAAGTCCACAATTTTGATGGCCGACCTTTTGGGATTGCACAACAAAATGTTCTCGGGCTTAAGATCACAGTGAATTATATTAAGTTCTGAAACAAAAAATATTGCATTATTATCTTCAAAAAGCACACTATACAATAATAATATAAATACAATAAACAGTTTGATGAAATTCTTATATTTTTGTAACTTTTGTCATTGTTTTTTTTTTTTAAGTTTGTAAAGTATATGCCCCGTGCATACTTGTTCTCTTTTTAATGTATTTTTTTCTCTATATCAGTTATTTATATTGTTTCTGTCAATAAACATATTATACATTATGAGATAATTTATATATAAATCTATAAATAAAAAACTTACCAGGTTGACTAAGGAACAATAACGCGGTGCAGAGCTGCTGCGCGAACTTGCGCGTGAGATTGAGCGAGACTCCACGGAAGTTGGTGTTTCGCAGCAGATCGTACAAGTTGTACGAGAGCAGCTCGAACACGAGGCACAGGTGGTTCCGCCACATGAAGTGACGCTTCAGTTTCACTGAAAATATAAAGTCAATTTTTTGAATTTTTATGATAAAGATTATGTTTATACGCCGCTAGCACTGTGTGTTTTATTGGTATCGTCAAAGGGTGAGGGTATTAAAAATCTTTCGATTAAAGAAAGAACCATGCGAGAGAAGCCGTGACTAAACTCGAAAATGTAAGTGCGTGCTCCTATTTCACTATGCCTACTGCCTATAGAGGACAAATCTTTGTTTTTATTATTAATTAACTATTAATTACTTAAGATGTCATGTGGAACATGGTGTAATGGTTGCAGCTCCTTACAAACATCTTGTAAAACAAAAAACTTGGCGATTAAAAAGAGTGGCGGAGAGTTTATTGCCAGTTCCCGTCGTCCGTTCTACGCCCTTGATTTGCGAACTGGCAGTAAATGTAAAATTAAAGCATTTAGCATTTAATATGTATTTCTTTATTGACGTTTATAAGTGTACATTGTGTTACCTAAATGAATAAATGATTTTGACTTGACTTGCAGTGAGGCATAAGGAGCATAGCCGTAAGATCGTAAGTACGGTTTTAGGAGACGGTTTCTTTTTTGTTGTTTCTTTAGTAATCGAAGAAGATAAAACAATTAATTCCTTGAATTTAATTTGATGACGATAATTAGCTTCTCTAATCAGGTATAGTGCGCAATACGTAGACAACAAAACACCGCCACTGCGTAGCATTTAAATTTATTGTAGCAGATGTAGACTGTTGCTACGCGCGTAGACCATTACACAACAAATAAAAAGTCCACTTAAAATACCTAAATGTATACACAAATAACCTTTACGAGTCACACGCACATTAATAAACATGATTCACGATTTGGTCCAAACGCTTAATCGAATCTTATTAATATTGCGACATAAGGAAAATCCGGTACACGGCTCTAATTAACTTAAACTTTTTGATCCCTTTAGTTTACCTCAAAGAAACAGCTAAATGGGATTTACCGATCCCGATTACAAGCTTAATTAAAAGGAATGCGTATTATATTTACTACGATGCATGTAATTAGCCATACATTGGAATATAATCACTCAATATATATTTGTTAAAATTAGAGTTTTATATATTATGTACATACATAATTTGCACATATTCATATTGATTCGTAAGTAAGTCAAGTCAGGGACAGATGCGGATACAAATTACTTAGTTAGAAATTACAATTTTAGAAAATAATTATAAAATATGCTTAAGAAAATATATCGAAAATACCGCTAATAGATTTTATATTTAACCCAATACGCCCTACCACGTAACGTTCAAACATCGGCCTGAAATATTTGTATGAAATTTCTCATCAAGTATTTTAGCTATATGTGTATACTGTATCAAGATTTAATATAACATACCTATATAATACTTGTTTTCGGCGTCTGCTCTGTTCATCATTTCTAGTAACTTGACTTCTATTTGTGCCTGGTTTAGGAAAGGTTTCTTATTCTTAATAATTTTTATCGCTACTTGGCACTGCTCCTCGTGGTCGTAGGCTTTCACAACCTGAAATCCAATTAAATATCTTTTAATAATAGTAATAAGTGTAGTTGAAAAATATGTACATTTTTTTCTTCTGCGTATTTGCAGTCAGCTTCAAGGCTATGAGCGAATCTGTTCTGAGGTGCTATCATGTGGAGTGGCTTCCCATTGAAAGCATCTACTCATCTGCTGCCTAGAGCTACTGCACTCTTCTAGTTCTAGGATATGGTGACGTTTTAGTCGTCTCAAAAAAAAAGTGTTTAGAATTTTATATAATCTCATACAATTGGTAACTCAGATAGAGATTGAAGGAATATGTCATTTGCATTTATTGTCAAAAAGAATTAATTTATTCATACAACTAAGAATACCATTTATATTCATTTATCATTTTCCTTTTATTAACGGTTATAGGAATGGATAGTATCGAATTTGAACATGTACACTAATTATATAAATATCGATTTTAGATTTAAAGGCAATAACCTACAAACCTCTTTAATATAAACGCTTGTTTGTCAAATAGATATTTTATATTGATAAATTTTGGTTACATATATTATGTTTAACCTCTTGGATAAACCAGTCGTTTGAAACATAAAAACTTAATCAAAAACCAGACTTGAAATATAACTATAACTATTATAATTTGTAAAATATCAACTACATTTGTAATTATAGATTTTTATTATTTTGTATACTTTCATGAGGGTTTCCTGGCTAAAAACAAATACTGATTTACATCGGTCAGCATTCAACACAGCTTATGTGTAAGTAATACTAGGAATTAACATGACATACCTGTCCAAAGGAGCCCTTGCCGATAGGTGATGAGATCTCGTATCGGTCGAGGAACTTCTCACCCTGCTTGATGATGTAATCGTGGTTATCATCATCATACCCGTCATTGTAAAGCTTCCGCTCTTTCTTGTGCGAGCCATCGTCACCGAGGTACTGCTGCGCTCTCCGCTTCTTCTTCGCATAGTATACCTGAAACAATTTATTCAACAAATTAATAATTAAATCAAGGAAAGGCAAAAACACGGGTACAGCAAAGTTAAAATGACGCAGAGGCAGGTATGACCCACGGTGAATGAAGTTTAGACGTCTAACCATCAAATGCCGTACAGAATGTAAAGAAAAATCTAGATTTAGATAATGTTAAGGTTAAAAGCCTGTTATTTCTTACAAAATTTGCTTAAAACGGGAACCTGAATACAAATTGAATTCTTTGTTTTTTGAAGTCTGTATTATGTTCTATTTTCTTTACGCAGATACAAAGAAAAACAAAAAGTAAATGATTAAAGACAGTGATACCTCACTTTTCGCGAAGACTGATTTGTTGTTTCCCAGTTTTTATTTGACAGTTGTCCCGGTGAAACAATAACGGGACATTTGAATAATTTGGCTTATTTGTAAGAATATCGTTAGAAAAGCCAATTTTGACAGTGTTTTGTAAATATTCGGAAATGTCAAGCCATTGACAGGAAATCAAAAATAACCAGTATTTGTTGGAAATAACAAAAAGGTTTTACAATTTAATTTAATTACGAAAAGAAAATAAACGCTCTATTTACATTTCCTGATAAAACAGGATAGACAACTTTTTTTGTATATATCTTCAATCAATGTCGTGAGCAGTGTTGGCCTAGCGGCTTCAGCGTGCGACTCTCATCCCTGAGGTCGTAGGTTCGATCCCCGGCTGTGCTCAAATGGACTTTCTTTCTATGTGCGCATTTAATATTAGCTCGAACGGTGAAGGAAAACATCGTGAGGAAACCGACGTGTCTTAGACCCAAAAAGTCGACGGCGTGTGTCAGGCATAGGAGGATGATCACTTACTTGCCTATTAGATTGGATAATGATCATGAAACAGATACAAAAATCTGAGGCCCAGACCTAAAGGGGTTGTAGCGCCACAGATTTTTTTTCTACCAATGTCGAACACCGCCATCTCGTATTGATATAGGAACTTGCATTGTTGCCTTATTTGGAATGGATGTTCCATGATTACGCTAAGATGGCGTTACAAAACAACTTTTATTATTTATTATATGTCTGCCCCTTAGCATAATCAAAAATTACGTATTTAATACGTATTATATTAAAACAAACAAAAGAAAAGTATGATAATGGACACCACACGGATAATTCATAAAGTTTTGACGTTTAAAACGATAAAATATGATGAAGTTTTACCCAAATCTTACAAAATTACTCTTTCCCTTTACCGAGCATACGTAAGTCGAAATAAACAACTGCGTATTATTATACTTAAAAATAGTTATAAAAGAAAATATTAGGCAACCGTAAATACCATCCATCATTTCAACAGTAATTTCATGGACGTAATCACGTCGTTACCAACTATTTATAACAGTGATTGCATCATCAAACGAAGACAGCTGTGAGAAAAAACTAAAAAAGCGGCCAATCACGGCATTTAGACACATCAAAGCTAATGCATGTGGTACTGCTTATAGGAACAGGAGGGAGCGCGGGAATTTCGGCCATTGACCCAAATATGCGGTTGACATTGATCGACGACACTCGATACGTATAAAACATTCATACATACGACGCATGGATTCGGGACTAGGCAGTTCATTGCTACCAGTTTTTATGCGGCACCGGCGCGTCTCAACGTCGTAATGACTCACCGCGTTCTTACTAATGTGAACGCCCCATCCAAATCTAACATTTTAATTCCCTATTCGATCGAAAGTTAGATGCGTCAGAGTCGCGTCACATGACCTAGAATGGCGTTCACCACCGTTACGTAAACGTGGCGGACAATATCGGCCACTGCATGGCATTCACAGCGGAAGTGTCGCATATCGACGGGGCAATCCGTTAACCCAAATTTCTGATTCCGACCTACATATACATAATGGTATGTTCAGACAACGGTATTGCGGTGAGCGATCGCGCAGATAAAACCATCTGTGCGTCGCTCAATGTGAATAAGTACATCCTTGGGGATGTTTGATCGAAGGGTGGATATCTAAGGTCAGCGTGAGGTGCATCATATACGGCGTATTCAGCGGCTGCGGCGGCGGCGACGGCGAGCAGGCCAGTGACCGCGGCACGTGGTGGCTCGAGATGAGCGCGTTGGGCCGGGGAGAGACGGCGCGCGGCGGCTGTCATTGATTTTCCCCGCCCCCGCCCCGCTGTCCGCCCGCCGCCGCCCCACGCAGCCGCCCTCCCCGCCGCGTCTCACCCACTTCCAGCGCCCGATAACGAGGTTAACGGGCGACGTGAGCGTCTCCTAAACTTTAATTATACCCGTACACCCGCCGTGCATGTTTAACCGGGCCTCTATTCAACGCTTTGTTTGCAGCGCACCTGATATCTTGATCCACTATTCGGTTAACTATCTAATGAACGTCGCAGCGGCTTCGAGAGCGCAACTCGTAGGCTCGTCGCGGACTCCTATTCAAATCCGCTAACTGCGTCTCGACGTAAGCGTGCGACTAGGTAAACTTCGTGAATTTATTATAAACACTTGCTATTGAGCTCCCACTCTCTTTACCTTGTTACTCAGAGGATGGAAATGCATTAATTAATAGGTAATAGAAACATTGAGCACACAACTTTGAAGTTGGATCTTAAACAATATTTACTTGGTGGGAAAACAAGTTTCTTCAATAGACGAGTTCAAAAATATAGAGGTCATTGAACAGACACCGGTGCATACAATAAACATTGCCGGTAGCAACTACGGGATTTCATACTTTTTTTAAAGCATGTAGCTTTTACATTTTTATTTGTTTTAAGTGAAAGGCTAAGTCATAGATCAGTCTTAATAAGTATACGTTTTATATTATTAACTATAATTTTTATATGAACATAAAATAATTATTACAATTATGTAGTATTAGAGGCAACAATTCGTTTCCTAATATAGTTGATATACACATTTATACAAAAGCATATAAACGTGACAAGATGTAAATATAATGTTTTTAATGTAATGCTTAGAAACATTGCATTCTTGTGACGAAAACATGATTTAACAATTGATCGGTTCAAATAAAGGGCTAATTGTACGTGTATTACGCACAAATTATCGTTATTGGTATGCGGAAGAAGTAAGGTAAAGCGGGGATACGGACAGATCGAAGGTATGTGAATAGACACTCTATGGAAGGTAATTCTACCGTAACAGTTTTATTAAAAACAGCGCGAAAATAGACGTCAAGTTATCTCGTAGTGTTATTATGGTTTTCCACACCAAAACCACTTTGTATGAGAAAGAAACAACAGCGTTAAATCAGTATGAAGCTGTCTATGGTCCCTTCTTATATTAAAGAAATAGATTATTATTATTTTAAGATTCAAAAGTTGTAGTAGAAATTCTACATTAATCGTGGCCATACGAATCAATATATCAATAGGACCCGAATCGGAGCATCAATAAAATTGTTTCACTCCATTTCCAGCGTTGACCCTTTAAAGCGTGTGAACTGTATGATTTAAGACTTTCATCAAACTCCAGTTTCTAAAGGTTAAGTACACAAAAGTTTTCTTGATTAAATTATGTTCCACTGAAGATTCGACTGTAATATAAGTTTAACTATGGAAAAGCACAGTATTTTGTTCGGGATTTTTCTAATATTAAAAATATTACTAAAACTAATAAAATATAAAAATGACTAACCCTCCCTTTTAATTCAACATTAAATCGAGTTTATATACTAGTAAAGACAAAGTGAAAAATGCATAAGGTACTATTCATTACAGATTATGAGAGAAAAATAACTAAGAAAAACTGATATGGATATCAACTCTTGTTTGAAGGATTTTTAAACAAATAGATATGAATTATATTTCTTGCGTTTTAAATCCACACTTGAAAAAAGTATCAAGCAGACATGGCTAATTAAGACGTGGTTTAATTTTTAAATGGGTCAAGCGCAGGCCGCGACGGCCACTCGAGCGGAAGGCGGCAATGAATAAGGCTCTTCATCGACATTTATATTAACTACAAAAAATATCGATTAAGCAACCCCGATAGACTCGTAGCCTTAGTACGCGATTCATATTACATTAATAATTCAAATACATCATTAACAGGTCTGTACATGAAGTATAGTAAATATTTTGCATCAAAGCGAGGGTGTTTTGTTTTTGTCAGGCCTCAATAACTGTCTACGTATCGGTGTATTACACTCTCTTGTGTAGTGCATTTCATACGGCATAACGTCATCGTGACATCATCGAAGCCGGTGACGCAACGCTTGAATCATTGCGATCAATCAGTGGGCGAGCACTTGCTATCGAGCGATGATTAAAAATGCATATAGTGTACACACGTTGCATATTTGTTTTAGTTAAATGTGTCTATGACGATGTGCCGGCAAAAAATAAACGACCGATCGAGTTGCAACAGGAATCCCCAAAAAGCAAACACGACGGACGCGCTAATTAATTTTTCATAGCCACGTCGCCGAAGCCGATTTCGTCGCGTCGCGTCAAATATGCTGCACCGTTGTCTCCAGAGACATCCGTAGCATCAATTAATGTTCCGGAACTGCGCAAGTTTACATCATTAACACCATAAAAAGACAGTTATTGCGAGAAAATTTGCGCAATCAATTAGGAGTTTTTAAGAGGGTGTGGGGGTGGATGCGTGCAGAGTGCAGTGTGCAGCGGCGGCGAGGGGGCCCGGCGCGCGCATCTGTGTGCATTCGGCATATTTACCCCGATAGTGGGCGGGCGGGTTCACTGACCCGACCCAATGCAAGGCCCGTACGTAGGCTGCGACGCACACGCCGGGCCTCGTTTCATTAGTGCCACCGCGCCGCACACCCATGCAAAAAGCTAACACTGTGCGTCAAGTGGGCACGCACGCTTTTTAATCATCCACAGTATAACTTAAGGTTTAGATTAGCCGCTGCCGGAATGCAATCTCTGATTTCACTGAAACTATTCACTGACGTGTCCTAAGCTTTCGTCTGTCTGAAACGTATCGATCTATGTTTATTTCCAACTATACTCCGATCCAGGTAGGCGATTTAATATTTATAACACAACTAAAATTAGCTATTATAGTCGAAAATTATATACTGTTGTAGTAAGGTATCGTTATCAGATTGCGATGATAGCGGATATATCAAGAGCCAGCGTATGCACATTGCACATATAATTACATATCAAGACGTATGCGGTAAATGCACACGGGAGTCATAATTATACCGCGGCATTCATAAATCCGGTGATTAAGGCAGACAGACACATTCACGTAAGTATAACCGAGGTGTATGTACTTATGCAAAACCACCCTTGCACCGGGCGAATGGACGGATGCAACGCCATACCTACCCCAAGCTTTCCCCTCGTTGAGGCAGGTCAGTGTAGACGCTTTTCGAGGGCATTTTCATAATAATTGTAAATACAAAAATACAGTCAGATAACAGTATACATAGCACATGTTTATTTACGATGTTTACGTTCGGGAGTTTCATAAAATGTCGATGAACGAAGCTAGTCGTGTAGGCGTCTCATTCAAATTACGTTACTAATAATACCACAACTATATCATAATTAATAAACATATTGCAGTATTAAATATAAAGGCGACAAGTGTATTTATATTTAAAAGAACTCTCTAAATACTTCAACCATTACATACTTAGTGCTTTCACATTACACTTTAACGAGTCAAGTACTAACTGTACCTAAAAGCCATTAAAACACTGTCCAATCCCTATCCATTTACAACAATTTACAAGAGGTTTACAATAATTTACAATAGCAAAGCACGCGATCCGCAGCAATCATTTCAACGTATCGACGCATAATCGCACAGAATATTCTAAAGGCTTCTCAATGAAAGTGGCATATTGTGGTGCAATAAATCATTCGGCGAGTGCAATTTAAACGACTTGAGTCCAATAATAACGGCTTTCGGGAAGCGAGATCACTGAAAGCGACAAACAGCATGACTAATGTCTGAATGTGCAAACGATAAATTCAAATCAAAAGTGAGCTTTGCCCTCCGTGTTGGGGCTTCCAATGTATTTGTAACTTCGGGATGCGTTTTATTGAGCGACTACGTACTAATTTGGACGACACATGCACACTTCAGACTGAAGGCAGTCGCGATGCTCTTGTATAATTTTAGTAAGGAGACACAAAGACATTTCTGTGTAGTGCTTCCTATTACTATTTGCTTAGACTACGTATTTTTTAATTTCACTATCTTGACGTCAAACAAAATTACATTTTGGTTCTTATTAATGCGTTTGGAAATGAAATCCTTTACTAACTACACTTGGCAGTAACACAATGTAGATATATTAAACCTAAAGAATAAAATCACATCCCTAAGTTTAAACATCCTGGTAGCGGATGGTGTAGGTAGTTGCAGTGCGGCCCGATTGAAACTTTGAACAATACGGCAATGTTTTTAGAAGTACAACAATGCATAGCCAGACATCGGAAACATTCAATCGAACAAAACTTATACGATTAGACGCAGATTGTAACTTACAAATTGACTCGATTCTAAAGCTTTTTCCCTTATATTTTGGAATTAATTGAGAAACAAGAAAGATTTCTTTAATACTTTTAAAAATACTGTAGAAAAAAAAGACGTATCTAATGAACAGACCAATCAAATTTAATATCAAACAAATAGTTTTAAAATTTAAATAACTAGTATAACAGTTTTAAGTTACTTTATAAAATGACAATAAGAAGTTTTTTTCTCAAAACATAAAAAGCCATCGTATTAACAGTTACTGAAATATAAGAAATACCTAAAAAGGCAACAATAACCTTTGGTATAACCATATACAGTGGTTTCATTCGCCTTCCCGCGTGAAACAAAAAGCTTGGGAATTTAGACAAACGGATGTTGACGCTTAATAATAACACCAATATAATAAATAACATATAAAGGCGTTTTTCTATAAAGCACAGAATTCTCGCCCGATGTGCGCCCGTCGAACAACCAATACGTTAACTAAAACATCCTTAGAAATAGAATAGTAACGATAGACTTCTGTATACTGTAGCTTCGAAATAAACGGAAACGCGAACAGTATTCGTGTAGTCTAAACAAATTTTTTCGAAAAATCTGTCATTGAATTGACGTTTATAGACGAAATTATCGCAAATTTCGCGCACAAAACATAATCGTTGATCAAAACCGCGAAAATATTTTCGAAACATGAGGTATTCAGCTTCATTGGCAAATAAAATCGATACTATTCATTACACTGATCACTAAAAGACCTGGCGCAGACGAGATGTTTTTATACAAAATTTTCATGCTGTGTTTATACAACTCTTAGCTAATGATGTGAATTTGTGAATAGTGTCTAGTACTTTTAAGTAAATTGTAAATTAGACATTAAAAGTTTTGTTGCGATGTCGTACCTATATTAAACTGTTTTTATTGGTATTAAGGTTAAATCATCTTAAATATATACACATACATTTTAATTCGAATGCAGTAAAGAAAGCCGTTGTGTGGATAAATATAATATTAATTATAAAATTAAATTAATTTATGATAAAATTAATTGTAAAACTATAAAAAAAAATAGGTATGCCGAAGCGTCAACTGGCAAAATCAAGACAAAATAGGAATTTTGATTAGTAATACAGAGCCCGAGTTAGAGGCGGGAGCGATCGCCTAAGGAGCGCAACCACAGACGTATGCCCGCATTCGCCACTTGGATGTTAAACAAGCAACCAAGTCAAAACTTCTTTGAGTTCCAGCACGATCGGAGACTTCAAACTAATAATTAAATCAGTCGGCATGCACGGCTCATCGAGCCAGCCGCACGTAACAGGGTCCCATTAAAAATCATACGCGTTCAAAAAACCTCGCCCTCTGTGCCGCCACTTAAAAAGTTTGACCTCGCAATTACTAAAATTGGTTTGATTTACCATTTTAATTGTAACAAAAAGCTTATTTTTTCCACCGGCGTGGCCGAGGGCCGTTGCAATCTCGACCGAGTGACTTTCGGTCGCAGGGTTCATTAGGGATCGGCAGGGCGCCGCGACGCATAGGTGGTCTGTTAGAATTTTGAGCTGTGGCGTCATGTCGTTAAGGCGTAGTTTCTGTCGGAGGTGTCCGTAGGCGCGAGAGGAGAGCACTCGAGGTCGGATGCTGAGAGCGGGCGCGTGGGGTGACGCGGGAGGATGGGACAAAATCGATATCGTCGGGAGTCGGGCGGCGCGCGACGTCTTGCCGAGTTGCCGCTGCGCCCCCGCCCCGCTGCTCAATGGGAGCGCGCATCAGCTCTGCCGACTCGGCCGACACAACAGCGGCGGTCGACTGGGCCCTAACACAATACTGGATTACCCGCGATAACCGAACGCTCATCAATCCGCACAACCCTAATATTACATCTTCAATTCAATCTATTCCTTGGTTGTTTTAGCATTTCCTTGAGAAATGCGTGAATTTCGTTGAAATTGACTAGACAAAAATTATGACTAGTGTTTTTCATGTAATTTATTTTTATAATATGTCATTATAAGACGCTGATACATTCTTTACACATGAAATTTACTTTCACGATCACCCTTATCGCTACCAGGGACTTGTACTAGCTACCCAACATTAAAATTACCAACCCCAATTTAACCCTAACTCATTATATTTATATACAAATCTACTTCATCACCTACTTTATTACAATTTCATGACAGGGACGCTGGATTCCCACAATAAGTATAATTTCGTAAAATAAAATACAAAATTTATCCGTTCTTAGGCTGAGCCGACATAATAGCAAGACCTATTGGTAGAATCGACAGTTGTAATAACAATGTGATGGCAAGCAGATGGGAACACATGACAAGGCTCATACTGATGAAAAACATTACAAAATAGATGAGATTCGATAACAGTATTTTGACGATAAAGCTGATTTTAAAATCAAAATATAATTATAATTAAAAGAATAAGATAATAATCGTTAATTTGAAAATCTTAGTTTTATATATAAACTAGTGGATCCGGCGGACGTTCGGACGGCGGGACTGTACAATTTACATTTCTTACATACAAAAAAAAAATCTAATAATGTGAATCATTCTCGACTTCACTTGAAGACACAAAAAATTTCATCAAAATCATGTTTCTATATATCAGCTGTTTATTTGGTAATAAATAACCTAGATACCGACTGCAGCGCCATCTGCTGGGCTGATTTGTTTGATTTGAATCTAAATCATCCAGAGCGCCACCCAAACGCATACAAAAAAAAAAATTCAAATCGGTCCAGCCACTTAAGAAGAGTTCAGTGAAATACACAGTACAGCAGAATTATATATATGTACTTGTATATAAAAAAAGAGTATTATGTGTTTTCCAACCGCATAGTTTTTCTACTTTATTTCAGAAATATGTAAGGCTTGTAAATGGCACAGCACTATTATTTGCGACCGGCGTCGAGGGGCGGCATTAACCTGAAACTAAAGCACTACCTACTTCCTCTGATTCAGACATTTAGATTATGGATAGACTAAGAATATACTTTCAATTTAGAAAAAAACTAGCTGTTGTGGTCTCTGGCAGAATGACCAGCGCTGTGGAACAGTCTGCTCCTCAGCATAATGCTGAGCCAGGGCCAATTACAACCACAACAAACACGAATTACACACTTAAAACGTACCTTGTTCTTAAAAAAAAAAATTTTTTAAAGAACAAGTTTTTGTTTGTGTGTGTTTCGTTAGTAATAAATTTTATGTCTATGTCAATTAATTTACAAAAACGAAAAAGATTCTGAAACGTATGATCTATATTTCTGATTGAATAACCTTTGACCGATTGGAATTTTATATATCACGATAAAAATAAAAATAAACATTTTCATTTATAAGAGATAAATTGTCACAGCTAAATAAAGGATTTTTTTAAATAATTCTGCTGTTTCCATAAACTCACGACGCCTCTCAATTATCAATGAATAATGTTCAAGATAATATAATAGAATAAAACAAATTCTATCTTGTTAATAATATAAAATATATTCACATACAACATTGCATCTCATGGATTGAAAAGGCTACACGGCTGAAAGAGGCGGAGATGAGGGGCGGCCTTAACCTGGATCATCGTAAGCCAAGATCTTGACATTTCTCATTCACGAGACCGTCTACAATTTCGTATTTACTAGTAATCAGAAGTACTTATTACATAGACGAAAATATTCTCTTCATAAACCCTTCTTTTAAATAAAAAAAAACTAAAGAATAATAAAACATGGAAACGTTATAAGACAGTGAAGAATGTTAAAAATTCCCTTTCCGAAACAGGAAATTAAATATTTAATTAACAAATTATTGCGCAAAGCATTCTTACTAACGTTCTATCAATTAATTAAAGTTAGAAATTCTTTTATCACCATAACATTAATATCAAAACATATCTTATCAGTTACACAATGTATAAGAATCGTGTTTAAGGCTAACTGATCAGTTTCTAGATAGTAAATAACTTTTTAAATTTTTTTTTAATTTTGTCAACGTGAAATTGGTACTAACTTTATTAAAGTTTATTTTCTTCTTTCACTATCAGCGAAAGGAATTTTCTATACATATGTATTAGCTTCAATCTCATCTACATGAGTACAGACTTTAAAAGATTTTAAAGGTTGGCAACGCACTCGCGAGCCCTCTGGCATTGAGAGTGTCCACGGGCGGCGGTATCGGTTAACATCAGATGAGCCTCCTATTATTAAACAAATCTTAATTCATTATATAACGTATATCTGGATTCGTTTTTATATATTATACCATAAACAAGTTTACAAACAAAATAGGAATTAGAGTGATACTGATATGGATACTGAAAGTGTCACAATATACAATTTGTGAACGTCTTACGAGATATCACAAAAGGCGCGAAAAAATAAATTCAAAATACCATATTGATGCAACATCACCGCGCGTCAACTGCAACTTTCCCCGTTTCCACGATATAAACCCCTGGGGTTTACCACGCGAACCCACGACCAAAACGTGGTTTAATATAATAAGAAAATCCATTTGAACTAGTGTGAGTGCACGTTACGTACGTGCTAAACATTGGTAAGTGGAAAAAAATAGTACAAAACTAAGTTTCTTATAAAGACTATGTCTTTTTTTAGTAAATTGGTTAGATTTAAATTACTTATTAGTCTTAGGTTAGGCTAGATCGTAATGTTAAATTGTGTCTTTGTGAAGACAAATTAAAAAAAAAAAACAATATTAAAGAAATGAATTAACGTAACGTAACGTATACCGTGAGTAAGAATCCCGTAATACAAATCTCGGCATTAATGAATGTGAGAAAATATTGTAATGATGAATGTATCAACAGGTGTTTATGTGTCAGCAGTGAGTAATTCATAAGGAAAATGTGTGATAAAAATATCCAATTAGTTATATATATGTTGCCTTCTTTTGTTTAATCTTTAAGATTTGATTTGAGGGATGAACAACCTACATTAAACAAAACTGAACTGTTTTATTTATTTACACTTCGTTGCAAGTATACAGAAATACAGTACAATTAAAATAATTAAATAAAAAGGAAGGCCACTGGCGGCCTTATCGCCTTCAAGCGATCTCTTCAAAAAGAAATAAAAAATGTGCAAAACTACATAAGACATAAAATTACTTAGACAAAACAAAACAGTTAAAAAGCATTAGGATTTTGTTAGCATTAAGGACCAACAAGCCAAGAGTTGAATTCATACAGTAAACAAAGGATTTAAATAAATCAACACGTCCTTTCTATATACCCGAACTTGTTAACATAAAAATATAAATTTATTAGAAAATTGTCTAGGTAAAACACTGATTATGCGCAGAAGAATGTCTAAAATAATAAAAATGTACACAAACATCTGTTTCGTATAGAAGATTATTCAATCTATCACATGTGTATAATAGGTAAATATGTTTTCATTGAATACTAGATACGAAATTTCTGTAAAATTTTGCAGGCATGCCTTTATATTAGACCATACTACTACTAGACTTCTGTCTACTTGACATAAACTTAAATTTGGCTAAAACCTAAATAATTACGACACAAATAATTTATTCATATATTATATATGTACTCTTAATATAATCTCAGAAGCACATTATGTGTAAATTAATAAACACGACCTCAAACATACACGCTACAATTAAATCAACAACAAAAACCCTTTAATGTTTAAAATAAATCCATAACTGCTTTGAATTTTTAATTAATATTATCTGTACTTTAATAAGAGGTACAAGGTATGTAATAATGTAAATACGCTACAACATACCATAGAAAGGGCTCTAAGGGAACGCCATCGAAGTGCATCGGACAGAGTCCTGAGAAGGGCTCCAGTCGACGACTCCCCCTTGCGCACCATTATTTCACGCACGGCCGGTGGGTCACTGGACTTAGCACGCAACAACTAAATGCATATACACGTGGTATAGAGCAACCGTAATAAACGACCGCGTGGACGCGACTGACATTATCTACTTATTTCTTAGACTATGGCACATATATAATATTCTGATAAACCTGTACGTGGGTATCGCTGTTTTAGTTGACGCGCGTTCCCAATGTCGGAACCGACGCGTCAACAGCTAGGAATTCTGACGCCTATAAATATCACGTCCTCTAATTGCCAATAATAGAGCTTCTAACAAATGAAGCGAAATAGCCAAACAAAACAAAGGAAGGAAATTGGTCCACAGATATTAAATCGAAGGGACTCGCCCGCTAACTAAAACAACAAATATGTTAACTATTGTATTCAAGAATAGAAATCTGCCCTTGATGTACTTCTGGTATTGCAAAGGCCGAGCGGCTTTCGTTAAAAACTAAAAACACTTGCGACTAATCACTAACATGATCTTGAAACATCATCGTACATCATTTCCCCCGGCCTCTACAATTAAACCTGGGAAACTGTTCGATGCAAATCAGATGTTTACCATTCACAAATAATTACCCGTCCTTTCTCACATCACTTTTTTCCTAATTAATCTCGTGAGAATTCCAATGTGGGATGGGATCATTGCGAATGGATACACCCGATGTCTTATTCTCATTTCGTAACCTCACTAATGCAACTTTGTCAGCTGAACGCATACCTTCAAAGCAAAACAATAATAAGAATGTCTAGAAGGTTATCAGACAGTTAATTACTATTCTGCTATGATGGAAATGTACTTCGTTTTTTGCACTTTTTATCACTATGTGTACTCGACTGTGTCCCGTATTGCGATTAGCTTTCGCTCTGTTGTTGTATGCAGTTTATAATTAGCCAGTGGCAAGAGTCCAGGTCGATCACTCGACTAACGGACCCCACACTATATCAGGTTCGGTCATTGACAGGGATTCTTCGTGTTTGTTCCACTTTTAAGAATTTTGAGTTTTTCGAGGTTGAGTATTTTTATTTAATTTTTCAACTATTATTGAACTTCTATCGGCAGTTATATTTTGCCTTGAATCAGTACAAGTAGAAACACAAATAAATATATATAGCAATTAAAAATAATTATAACACGGCACGTGTAGTCTGTTATAGCTCAAGTCGACGTCATGGTTACGTAAATGTAAATAACATTTATTTCCTATATAGTTTTATAGAAGTAAGTTGAAATATACATAAGTGTAACAATTGACAAGTGAATATTCAGTTAGAATACTCGTGTTATAATACAACTAACAATTCGAATGAACTTTCCCCCGCAGCCTCGAGGCGGGCAACTATTTGACATTGCATGTATGGCTTGAGATATTAATCTTGGTATTAAATTAAAGTTAGGCGAATATCAAAGCCGAAACACAAACGCGTCTCGCTATGTTGTCAGCAACAAACGTCTGAAGCGATTCCGAGAATTCGGGGCCTCGGAATATTTGTGGAGAATTTAGTTCCGACTATCGACCCTCTTGTTGCTACCCAGATATGGCGTTAATATACATAAGTATTCTCTTTGAAAATGAAAACATGATATGAGACGTGATGTAACGCCTGGTTTTATCTCATGCGTAGGCGTGGAGGAATTATAGGCACGTTCCCTTAATCCACACACTTCCTTTAATGTACACAGGTTAGTATATAAAGTTGACGGCATCCAACACATTTACTTTGGCTTTACAAAAAATAATGTCTATTAAACCAAATCTTCCAAAGATGTAACTAATACGATCAAAAAACTAAAATGGAGGTGGGCTGGGCATACCATCAGAGGATAGTCAAAATGGAGCAAGTCAATAATGCATTAGTACACAGGTCACATGAAGAGGAAAAGGTGTAGACCATTCCTAAGGTGGGCTGACGAAAAAACAGCCGTGGCAGGTACCCGAACTGCCCAGGTCAGAAATTTATGGTGGCAATTGGAGGAGGCCTTTGCCAACAAAAGGCAAACAGAAAGGTTGTTGAGGGAATGTAAATATTCAACTATATTAAAGTTATATTTTTTCAATACTAAACATTTGTATATTTTAGATTAAGTAAAATTGTATCTTGTCTGAATAAAGGCTTTTATTATTATTATTAAAGCAAATCTTATAACAAAAAAGCTCTTGTTATTATAAAATTCGAATGTAAAGCTTGAAATACGCGAAAGTACTTAGAACGAAGAAATGCTTTAAAGTCTCGATACTGCATTATGCAACGTAAGAAAAGAATTGAATCTCAAGAAACTGGCCTATAGAAAAACTTCTTACAAGCAAATAGTTAGTGCGTAGTTTCCCCATTGTCCCCAGTCTCATTTGGCCCACCGTGTTGGCCGTCTCGAAGCATCCCAACGATCCGCAGATAGAGCACGCATTTAAAGAGAATTTCATTTCAAACGGTTCAGATTAAACGGAATTCAATTTTCATTGCGACCGCCTCGATTAGGTGTCATTTGCGCTCACCTTCTCGATAATACGATAATTTATTGTGAAGCGTTTGCCTGCAAATTAGTTTAATTTCCCATTGATATTGAATGCAGATGTTGGTTGAAATAAAAAGCTTTTCTTTGTATTATTACTCAAATTATGCTTGGCAGAAAACTTAATCAAAAGTCAAAGTCAAAAAACATTTATTCATGTAGGTAACACAATGTACACTTATGAACGTCAAAAAAGAAATATGTTCAGTAAATGATTCTAATTTTACATTTACTGCCAGTTCTCAAATCAAGGGCGTAGAACGTAAGAGAAGAACTGGCAATGAACTCTCCGCCACTCTTTTTAATCGCCAAGTTTTTTGTTTTACACAACGTTTGTAAGGAGCTGCAACCATTACACCATGTTCCACATGACATCCTTAGTAATAAATAATAATAAAATAAAAGAAAAACAAAGATTTGTCCTCTATCAGAAGGAGGCATGGTGAAATAGGAGCACGCACTTACATTCTCGTGGGAACAACACGCAAATACATAGTCGAAACAACTAACATCACCACATACACGAATTCAAGTACGACCAGTTACCACAAGTAGCACCTACGAGCATGACGCATGGCCAGCCATCGGCCCCCTCTCCATATTTTAGAGAGAGAGACAACCCGACGCATGGACGCACGTATACCTTATTACAATAGATAAAAAGATAAGACGAAAGAGATTCGGGAACAACGCCTGCCACCGCATGAGAAATGCACCAAAAACGACAGAAAAGTCTGTCAGAGGCATGTAATCGAATGTAAGCGCGGCGCGCCTAAACCAAACGAGCAATCATTAGCCATTTATTCGGTAAATTTCCTCCATCGATACCCACAAGCGGTTCCGACACTCGCGACGAAAAATTCCCATTACTTTCTTGATTTTCTAGTGCGCCACGGGCATTAACTAAAACGTTTGTCGTGGAAGATATTGTAAATGTTATATGTACTAACATTACACGATTTTATTAAATCTAACATATAAAATTCTCGTGTCACAATGTTCGTTCCCATACTCCTCCGAAACGACTGGACCGATTCTTATGAAATTTTATATTCATATTCAGTAAGTCTGAGAATCGGCTACTATCTGTCTTTCAAACCCTTAAGTGACCCCTAAGGGGTGTCCACCCCAAAATTTTTCTTTTTATGTTTTTAGACAATTTTTTTGTTTTTATTTTTTTATGATACAACATACAAAAATACATGCAACCCTTAATTTTCATCAACACTCTATGATCAACCCCTATTTTTTATTATAGTAGATAGCTATTTTTATTGAACTAAAAAAAAATCCTAGACATATACATGACAAAACGACGTTTGCCGGGTCAGCTAGTATTAGAATATAAAATAAAGAAAAAGTGGGTGATAAATTTAATAAAAAAATCAATAACTAATTTTGAGTCTTGTTCGGTCTCAATGAACAAAAAAACTCCGTGAGAGACTATTGTCTGGTAGAACAATGGTTAAATCTCAAAAATGGTCCCATCGTTTCGCACAATCACTGATCCCATGATACGAAGATGACCTATAAATCTATCAAAATCCAATAAATTGGCAAAGCGATACTGCAAAATTCCAGTCATACTAATCGAGTCAATGGGACCCTTTAGTTATACAAATGTTTTAATTGTATACAATGTAACCAGATGATCTGATGTAACAAACTGAATGTTGGACGTGAACTGAACTTGTGTGAGAATTGCTTGTTCTGTTTGATATCAATTAGAAATAGTTTTTGTGAACGCAAAATCAAGGCATAGAAATTTTGCTGATCCGCGGGAATCTGTCTCTGTAAATTGAATATTTTGGTTAACATTATATTGAATATCTTATATATATTTTGCATCTTCTACCGCATTTACGGACTCTCCGTGGTTCAGAGAAGTTGTTCAGATTAATACCTGCAGCTGAGTTTCATCATAGGACGTCGACGCAGAACATGAAATCCCGACCCATATCACCTCGTCGTCCACCGTTCTACAACTGAGCGTTTTTAAGGCAGTTTCTGCCACGCACGACCACTATGTGGAACCAGCTGCCCATTTAAGTATTTCCGAACTAATTCATTGAGTGTCCATGGGCGTGGTATCACTTAACTTTAGGTGAGCCTGCTACCAGTTTGCCCCTTGTATTAAAAAAAATATCTAACAAGTTATAATATGTATATATAAAAATTAATAACGTTCAAATTATAATGAACTAAACCAGGTACACGGATTTTCCCATTGAAATAACAATCAAAGGTTTCCAATTTCAATTTATAATTCCCTCATTTAGGTGCAACATATTATCACACAATGAATAATAACGTAACTATGTAAGGTATCATCTTACACGTGCCGATTGCATATAATAAAAGAATTATGTAAAAATTACACATACTGCATGAACCGAGGCTTCGAGGAAAATTAACGCTGTAATAAGGAAACTAGTTCTAGGAAACTAGTTGGTCAACACAAATTATATAGGTAAGT